TCTCCACCTCTTGCACCTTATTCAATCTTCCTTCCACCATTCTTTGGGTAGTAGTCTGCCTGCCATCACTACCTTCTTGAAGTTTTCCTTGTGTTTGCTCTATTGTGATGGTCCTGTCTTGCTCCTCTCGAAGCTCAGTTTGCTTCCCTTCCTTTCTTATCCACACTTGTTTTTCATAAACTGCCTTAGCTTGATTCTTTGGGCAACCATTATCTGTGTGGCCAAATATTTTACATTTCTTACTCCTTAGTGGCTTCCAATTATACTCACACTTAACCTGAATAGCTTTCCTATTATCCAGTACTATCTTGACACTTTCAGGGTAGGTACAATCTGGTGTGATCTCCACACATATGCGTGCATGAGATGTCCTTGCCATAGTTTCTGTCAATCTGTCTGCATGCAAAGGTTCCCTACTACACTCCCTACTTGGCTGAATCCCTTGTTATTCCACATATCTAGAGGTAGATTTTGAAGAATCACCCATATTGGAATTGTTTTCAACTCATTGATATCAGCTTCTTGAAACACTTCCCAAGGCCTTATAATGATCAGTTTACTAGCTATATGGAAGCTTCCTGTGTCCAATACTCTTCTTCTATCATCTTCATTCTTGAATTCAAAAGTAAATGAGTTATTCCCATATGTGTTCATAACAAACTCCTTGATTTTCCACACCTTTTGTAAAGTTTCTTTTACATACATGTATGCAGGTCGTTTCCCAATAAAACTACCAACTATCAATCTAGCATACTTTTGTTCAAAATGCTTAAACTGATCTGATTTGACATGAACCTCCAGTTTGCCATCAACAATTATATTGTAGAAGTACTTGATAATTTGCTCCATACAAAAATCCCCAAAGATATCCACATTACGATTTGCATGTTCGTCGCTTGTGAAAATATAATGATCAGGTATTATTACGATCTTTTCACAATCCCAAACCTTTTATTTGGATCAAGGATGAAATCATATAAGCTCACATAATACAAAGAAAAAATAGCTCAGGGTTCCAACAATACATAATTATTCCTAATGAAGATAAGCGACTACAATATTACACACTTGGAGCATGAGGAATATAACAGATTAAGATCTATTAATTTGAAGTTTTGAACACCGCAGTATAACTTTGGAAGTTAGTATCTCACTACCTTATAGTACAGAGATGAGCACACCCTTTTTCCTATTGTTAAACTTCCGATGTGAACAGAAAAAGGTATCAGCATAAAAAGTAGAAATGTACCCTGATTTTATTACAACTCCCGCATGAGGAAAATCTGATTCCTTT